ATGATCCCAGGGTCCAGGGATCAAGCCCTGCATGGGGAGGGGGGGGGTCTCTGCTCAGCAGGGAGCCTGCTTCCCTTCTCTCTCTGACTGCTTCTCTGCCTACTTGTGATCTCTGTCAAATAAATAAATAAAATCTCTTAAAAAAATAAAAAATTCTAGTTTGAAAAAAAAAAAATCCTATTTTGAATAGAATCTCTATCATCTGGCAGCCCCAACTGCCTGTCTGATATTTCAGTTTACCTTTTAAGGTACAGCTTGTGCCTCCCCTACTCCAGGAAGCCTTCCTGACTGCCCCTACTCATGGCCTATGCTGACCTTCCCTTTTCAATTTTTTTTTTTAAGATTTTATTTACCTTTTTAAGAGAGAGAGAGAGAGAGTGCATGTGCACACAAGTGGGGGGAGAGGCAGAGGAAGAAGCAGACTCCCCCCTGAGTGTGGAGCCTGACTCAGAGCTCGATCCCAGGACCCTGAGATCATGACCTGAGCTGAAGTCAGATGCTCAATGGACTGAGCCACCCAGGCGCCCTGTGACCTTCCCTTTTCCGAACTCTGGCAGCACCGGGCCTCTGACCCAACTTGCTGGGTTCTTGAGTTTGTGCTGCACAGCTCGTCATGCTTGGTGTTATCCCACATCTCAGTTCCTGCCTCCCCCACTAGACTGTGGCTCTCTCAGGCACAGCCCGACTCTTTCCTGTGTCACCAGCCCCCAGTACAATGCCCAGGACAGAGGAGACCCTCAGCAAACCTTAGTTTGACCAAAACAGGGGGAGGAGATATAAAGACAAAAGCAATCATTAACTCAGTTGAACTCAAACACCAAAGACCTACATAGAGGACCGTGTGAGAGGCAGTGCCACGCAAAAAGATATAATAATGACAGACGCAAGAGTAACAAACCCTTACTGAGCGCTTACTCGGGGCTGCGCACTTAGCTAGTGTGAGCCTCATCACAGCTCTGCAAGGTGGGTACGTGACAGACATGGAGGGAGAGAGGGAGAGAGAACACGTGGCGGGAAAGTCAGACAAGAAGAAGAATGCAAATGGGAGGTCAGAACTGGAAAGGGAATTGGGTCATTGGTCAAGGTCAAGGGAGACTGGAGGTCCAGGGCAACCCTGGACAGAAAGGTTCATAAGCTCACTTGATTTATCCAGAGCCTAGGCTAAGGGTGGCTGAGAAAGGAACACTGCCTCCTCACCAGGTTCTTGAAAAGTGCAGCCACCTCACGGGTGAACACGGCCAAGTTCAGGAAGCCAGTGGACAGCTCATGACTGTTTTGGGACAAGTGGCTGTTGCCTAAGGACTCTATGACCTCTCGGTACTGCTCCTCATTCTCCACATGGCCTGTGGAGGTAGGGAAAGGCAGAGTCAGTTCCATGCTGGGGCTAGGGAAGGGGCTGCTTGGCCAGCCTGGGCATCAGGCAGGCTCACTCACCAAGGCCGGAGCTGTGGATCGCCCTCACAGCCTTCTTTATTCTCTGCAAGATGGCCTGGTCTCCTTCCAGCATCTGGAAGCAAATGCAGACAGAGTTCAGGGATGCTCAGCTGGAAGGGGTGCCTGACTCCAGGATCCCACCCCCCCAACACACATATAAAGTTTCTTCCCTCGGGCCCCCCAGCCTCCCTCCAAACAGGAACAGACCACCCTCTTCCACCCAGACCACACAGGACACCAGAGATCCATCACAGCACTCCAGGAAGACCTACAGACTTTTCTCCCCAACTCCAACGCAGGCCAAGTAAATGGAGCGATTCCAAGGCACGTGGCGTAGTGGGGGGAACGCCAGTCCTGGGTTTGAATCCTGGCTCTGGCACTACCTAGAGTATCGATCTAGACAGAACTGCTACTTCTCTGAGCCTTGGGGGCTTTGTCTGCAAAATGGAGACGATACTACAGGCTCCCGGAGGTGCTGAGAGAATTAATGATTTGACAAATGTATCCAAAAATGCTTAGCAAAAGACCAGAGAAGAGAACGCAGACACAGCTCTGTATTCTCAAAGGCACTGACAGAAGAATGCTTGTTCCTTGAATCCCGGGCTCAGTAAGCAGAAGGGGCCACAGTATACCCCGACTGGAAAGAACTGGTGGGACAGCACCAAGCAACCTCTGTGGGCTGCAGAACAGACAGCAGACGGGGAAGGCCAGGAGATGTGACAGGGAGAACAGGCCTCACAGGCCCTAGTAGGGCAGGCTCAGCCAGAGATGCAAACCTCCTCCTTCAGTGGGGTGCAGACGCTCCAACCTCATGGATCCCTGATGAAATGCTGCTGAAGCTGGAAATTATAGAACATCAGGCCTGAGAAAGGCTGACAGAACCACCCCTGAGGAGACTGAGGCCTGGAGAGGGCAGAGCCTGGCCCAGAGCCAAAGAGTGGGGCAGCCTGGGAGCTGGGCTTCCGTCCCTGCTCTAGCTCGGTGCTCCACCCACACACCCATCCCCCCACCCCCGCCACAGCCCCACCTATTTTGTCCGGGTGACTGAAAAAGGGATCAGAGTTTATCTCCAAAGAATTACCTTCAACGTGACAAGAGTTAGCAAACACGTTCGGAATGGTTTCTCCAAAGACTGCGCACAGGAGGGCACGCACCAGGCAGAGCTCGGGGGCAATGTGGAATGTTCTCCAAAGCCTTGGGCATGGGGGAAGCCTCGGGAGGGAGAGGGGTCTGGTTTCGAAGCTCTGCTCTAGTGCCCAGATGCTGTGTGACCTCTAGCAAGTTGCTTCCTGATTAACTATCTTTACAATGGGGGGAAAATCATGCCTCCCTCTCAGGGTTATGAGATTATATGTATGAGATGATGCACAGAGAGGGCCTAGCTTGGTGCTGAGTGTGGCCTCAAAGAACAGCACCTATGGTCATTATCAGTACCTGCGGCTAGAAGGGTCCGCCAAACTCTGAGTACGTTTCCTACAGGGACTAGAAAGCTAACATTCTCCTCCCTGAGTATAGATTTCATGATTGGGACATGTGGCTTTGGGACAGTGGAGGCCCATCCCAGGGCTGAAGGAAAAAAAGTCAAGGAATTAGGGAGATGTGGGAACAGGAGGCCGTATCTGAACCAGCTAACAAACTCAGACACTACCAGAGAAACAAAGACATGAGGGGAGAACTAGGACATCACGATAGTTCCCAAAGACCCAGAGGGGGACACACGCATTCGCCGAAGCCCTTGATCCCCACCTTGAGACTTGACAGGGAAAGCGAAGACGTTAATTTAAGGAGCTCTGACTTTACTCCAATAGTGCGGACCACAGATACGAATGAATTCCAAAGAGACTTAAAAACTCCTGGAAAGGGGGTGCCTGGGTGGCTGGGTTGGTTAAGCCTCTGACTCTTGATTTTGGCTCAGGTTATGCATGATCTCAGGGTCCTGGAATTGAGCCCTGCGTTGGGCTCCACATTCAGCAAGGAGTCTGCCTCTCTTTCTCCCTCTGTCACTCCCCCGCCCTCATGAATGCTCTCTCTCAAATAAATACACAAAAATAAAATCTTTAAAAAAGGAGAAAGCTCCCTAAAGGCAGATCCATGTGCCTAGCACTCAGAAAATACCCACTAGTTGTTTACCTAAATGAACATTTTGCAAAGTCCCGGGACATGGACCTGAGGAGTCTGTGTTCCTGCTGTAGATACTTTCGGGGGAATCTCCCCACCCCACGATACTGTTCTCGGAAAACTGCCCTCCTCCCCTCTAGAGGTGGGTTCTTTATTACCTTGTTTGTTTGTTCTAGCCAGAGTAGACCGGACCAGGGTGACACCTGATCCAGGCCTGCCCAAACAGCTTCTCTCTCCAAGGAACTTGGAATGGGGCTCTGGGAAGTTGGCTAATTGATCTGAAATACTCAAGCTGGGACATCTTTCCCACCATGCGCAAAGACAAAAGAACAAAGCGGATGTACACAAAGAAGCAAATGAGACCCATGGTGCCCCAGAAAACCAGAAGAAAAAGGTTGCTCTGGTTTCTGGCAAATCTCCAGATCCTGCACCCCGAGAGGCTCCTCCACACTTCCTGTCCTTGGGTCTTCATGAAATATCCTTGAATGCACGCAACAAACTCCCCTTCATGCTTAAGCTGCTTTGAGAGCATCTCCCTTCCCTGCAGCATGGCAGAGCCTGTTAGTTGGCTCTCGGTGTCCATTCTCTCTTCTTCCTTAGCAGTTAAGAATGCTGACTTTTGGGGCACCTGGGTGGCTCAGTGGGTTAAGCCTCTGTCTTCAGCTCAGGTCATGATCTCAGGGTCCTGGGATTGAGCCCCTGGGATGCTCAGCGGGGGGCCTGCTTCCCCCTCTCTCTCTGCCTGCCTCTGCCTACTTGTGATCTCTCTGTCAAATAAATAACATCTTTAAAAAAAAAAAAAGAATGCTGACTTTTCAGATGGCAACTCGGTCACCCCAATACAGGCTACACTTCCCAGCTTACCTTGCAGCTGAATGTAGTCATAGGACTATGTGCTGACCTATGTCATATAATGGATATTTTACTTGTTAGCTTCCAGAAGTATTCTTAAAAGGAAGGGAGGGACTACCCACCTATTAAAATGGCCAAAATCCAAAACACTGACAACACCAAATGCTGACGAGGCTGTGGAGCAACAAGCACTCTCAGACACTGCTGGTGGGAAAGGAAAACGGTACGGGCGCTTCGCTAGACAGCTTGGCACCTTGTTACAAAACCACACATACTCTTACCATCTGATCCAGCAACTGCACTCCTCGGTATTTACCCAAATGAACTGACAACCTGTTCCCACGTAAAAACACGCCCATGGATGTTTATAGCAACTTTATTCCTAACTGCTAAAATTTGGAAGACAAGGGAATGTTACTAAGCACTAAAAAGAAGTGAGCTATCGAGTCACAAAATACATGAAGGAACCTTAAGTGTGTATTTCGGGGAGGGGGGCACCTGGCTGGCTCAGTCAGCAGAGCATTGACTCCTGATCTTGGGGTTGTGGGTCTGAGCCCCACTTTGGGTGGAGAGGTTACTTAAAAATAAAATCTTTCACAAAATGTGGATATTACTGTGTGAAAGAAACCCAGCTGAAAAGGCGGCATAGTGTCTGATTCCAATTCAGACATTCTGGAATAGGCTAAAGAATGGACATGATAAAAAGATCGGGGTCACCAGCGGAGGGTGGGATAAACAGGTGGCGCACAAAGGGTTTATAGAGCCGTCACACTATCCTGCCCAGTGCCAAGAATGGACACACATCACTAGGCACTGGTCAAAACTCAAAGAACATACACCACCAAGAGTGAACCTAACTTAACTATGGATCTGGGGTGACAATGACGTGTCCGTGTCGGTTCGCGGATTCTAACAAAGGTGCCACTCTGGTGTGGGCCAGTGACAGTGAGGGAGGTTGTCTGTGGAGTAGGAGATATATGAGAACTCTGAACTTCCTTTCCTTTTTTTTTTTTTTTTAAGATTTTATTTATTTATTTGTCAGAGAGAGAGCACAGAGGGAGAAGCAGGGCAGAGGGAGAAGCAGGATTCCTGCTGAGCAGGGATCCTGACTTGGGACTCAAACCCGGGACCCCACGATCGTGACCTGAGCTGAAAGCAGATACTCAACCAACTGAGCCACAGGGGCATCCCTAAAAGTGCTCTAAAAAATAAAGTTGTTTTTTTTTTTTTCTGAAAAAAGGGGAGGAGTGTCTGGGTGGCTCAGTCTTTTAAGTATCCGACTCTTGATTTCTGCTCAGGTCATCTCAGGGTCTTGAGATCAAGTCCCATGTCAGGTTCCATGCTGACCATGGAGCCTGCTTGAGATTCTCTCTCTCTCCCTCCCTCTGCCCCTCCATTCCACCAGCACTCTCTCTCTTTAAAAAAAAAGAAAGGAAGGAAGGAAGGAAGAAGGAAAAGGAAGAAAGGGAGGGGTAACCCTCTGTCATACTGTTCTCCTGGTGAGAAAGCATGTGTGATGTCTAGAGCTCAGGCAGCCATCCTGGACCGTAAGGCAGAAGCCATGTGCTGCAGATGGTGGAAGACAAAGTAGTGGCCTTGTTCCCGGTAACTGGGGAGCCACCCCATCATCCCTGGACCACTCACCTGCAGACTTCTTTCATACGGAAGAGAAATACATGTCTGTCTTCTATGAGCCACGTTATGCTGGGTATACTGTTACTTGGGACTGAAGCTAGGAGCTCTAGCTGGTCCAGGCAGGCAAGTCACCTAAAGACCAACAAACTGGGGCACATGGGTGGCTCAAGCTATTAGGCGTCTGCCTTCAGCTCGGGTCATGATCTCAGGGTCCTGGGATCCAGCCCCACGTCCAGGGAGCCTGCTTCTCCCTCTCCCACTCCGTCTGCTGTGTTCCCTCTCTCACTGTATCTCTCGCTGTCAAATAAATAAATAAACAAAATCTTTAAGGGGAAAAAAAAAAGACCAACAAACTGTCACTCGATGCCCTTGTCAGACATATATCAGGAAATGGCTTCCTGGCAAGATACCATTTGTGCTCCTACCAAAGTTCACACAGTCATTCATTCATTCATTGATTCATTTTAG